CACTGCGGATTGGCGGACTTCACATATCTTCGAAATATATATTATTTTATTATTATTTCGAAAATATGCAGGTTTCCTAACGATGTTTTCCTTCACCGCGGAGCACGTGATAAGTCAGCACTTAAAGTTAAAAACTTCATTGGTGCCGGCACCGGGGATCGAACTCAGGTTGCTCGAGTATATTGAATTAAAGGCGAGCGCCCGGACACTGAGCTATCACGGCTATTTTATACTCATAATTATTTCATAATCACAAATCTTCGAAGCTTTATTCACCCGGTAACATAATTCGTACTACAAATTCTAACATAACCTTATAATTTGTTGGACGTATTTTTTATAACGTTTGGGAGCCACGGATCCCGTGTTATGTACCTCTAGATACATCAACGAGGTAGTAAACAGACGTCATTCGTAATTCTTAATAACTTCTATCTCATTATAACTCAAAGCACTAGTGAGAAAACTGCTCATATCACAGAAAGGCACAAATCACAAAAATAGGCGAAACAGAATTTCCTATTTCTGTGTTGCATAATTATATTATATGAAAGTTACTCTATTATAATATTATTATATTTTTTTATATCAAAAACGTTACTGTTTAAATTACTTTTTATGTTGTGTGATGAACATCGTTTTTTTCCAGTGTCTCTTGTATTTATTTACAAAATAAAAGTATGTAAGTATGTTTATCAGTTTTCTAGTGCCCATAGTACAAGCGTTGCTTAGCACAAGAGAACGATGTGTAAAAATGTGTCCGGAAATACAAAAATATAAAAACAAAATACTATTACCTTGACTTTGAAGGATTTTTCAATGTAAGTAAGTAAAATATTGAACCATATGGAAAATCAATTTTCGACCACCATGACAGGGAAACAATATTCGATTTAGATATAAATTGACACATTAATTTAATAATGTAGTTAGTAAGCCAACAAAGTATTGCTACATCATTTCCTAAAAAGAATTACAAAGTCCTAGTGGACTATGGTAAAGAGTCAATGGTTATTTTAAGGAAAATAAACCTGTTATTATCTAGATCATGTTTACGGAGTCAAGTTTGAAAATAGTAGTTGTCTCGTGTGAGGACCGAACCCACGACCCCCGACGCTGAAGCCAATTCCTTGGCAACTGGGCCTCGGAGTCATTAAATAACAAATATAATCTTTAATATGATAATAAATAATTAATTTATAGAATTTGGTGGTTCAAATGGATAAATACTGTGAAATTGCTTTGTTAATTCTGAGATATTCTGACTATTTAAAATATACAGCTTTTACACATCAATTATTATTACGCTGTTACGATTGCTAAAATCGAATAGTTCAGATTTATTTAAGAGAAAGGAAAATTTACCCGTTTAATTGTTAATATGTTGTAAATCAACCTGAGAAAGAAAGGATAACATACGTATATTAGGGCTTTAGCTACAATACTTTACTCTCTAGTGGTTCCTTTCCGGACGACTGGAAAGAAGCCACGGTTATCAGCGTTGGCAAGCCGAATAAACCAGCCAACCAGCCCTCTAGTTATCGTCCCATCAGCCTCCTCAGTTGCCTGGGGAAGTTCTACGAGCGGATTCTATTAAACAGGCTAAAAGAGCACGTGTTTTCCAACGGCCTTCTGCCGGCGGAACAATTTGGTTTTCGAGCTAGACATTCCTATCTCGATCAATTATTCCGCCTAACGGAACGTATCATAAAAGGCCTAAATCACCTTAAAGACATTAGTACAGGGGCTCTTTTCTTCGATGTCGCAAAAGCATTCGAAAAGGTCTCGCACAACGGCTTGCTTTACAAGCTGTACACACTCAAAGTGCCAGATAGGCTCGTGCACACCATCCGGGCCTTCCTGTCGAAATGCTCTTTTCGATATCAAGTCGTAGGCACCCTCTCCAAAAGCCGCCTCACGGCTGGCGTACCACAAGGCTCCGGCCTCTCACCTTTGCTCTTTACGCTTTACACGAGCGATATACCTAAAGATCCCCACGTCAATCTCGCGCTTTTCGCGGATGACACGGCGCTCTTTTATTCCGACCGCAACCTTAGTCAACTAACCACTCGACTCCAAAGAGCCGCCGAACGCCACGGCGATTGGTTCCATAAATGGAGAATAGAAGTAAATCCCTTAAAGAGTGTGGCGATTCAATTCACACGATGTACTTACCCGTCACATATTAATAATGGTCCTAGCTAATGCAGAAAGGTGGGGCAAATATCCCTTTATGGTCAACCGCTCCCCTGGGAGAAAAAGGTCAAATACTTCGATGTCACTTTAGACTCGCGTATGTCATTTACTACGCATATTAATAACGTTCGCAATAGAGCCGCGTTCGTCTCCGGCCTGCTACACAATTTAACTAACGCTAAAAGTAAAATGCTCTTAAGGCACAAATTATTATTATATAAGACCTGCGTACGACTTATTATGTCCTACGTATGCACGACCTTTGCCCGCACGCACTCTACTCGCGTGTACAAGTTGCAAATAGAACAAAATAAGTTCATCCGTCGCGCAACCGGTGCGCAGTGCTATCAACGCAACGTCGACATGCACAGCGATTGCAGACTCCCGACGATTCGCAAATATTTTAAAGACCTGACCAAAAGGTTCTTCCATAGAGCCGAACATCATCCCAACCCTCTGGTGGTAAGCGCAGCAAATTACCAACCCGACACAAACGCGAACGTCAACAAGCGTCACCCGCGAAACGTCCTCATCGACCCGGTCGAGGAAGGGGACTTAGATACGTCGGACCCACCGCCGGGGGTCCCGCCGGATAACACTACACCCACAGTTAGTGCAACAAGAAACACACTAGTTCGCCCCGCCTCCGAGCACGGCGAGACCAACACAACGCGTACATAAGGTATACCCGCGTTCCGGGGCGGTTCTCACCACTCCCAGCCATCGGGGTTTCGGTCCGAACCGCGACCTCGATGGCCCTTAGATGACACACCATAGTTAAACGCACGCATGAGCACATGCGCGGCCCTACTCACAGCGGAGGGCCCAAACCCGTGGGTTCTGGCTAGCCCACTGGTTCTGCGTCAGACGAAGCTTTATTAGTCTCGGTACTGAAAGCAAAAACATCAGTTAATGCCGTATTAATAAGTAATAACAATTGCCGTTTTCTATGAAATTAGTTAAAGTTTTTTTTCAAACATTTTTGGTTGTTATTCAAAGCAGTCACCCATGCAATCGATGCATCTTAGCCAACGCAGTGGTAGTTTATTTATGCCCTTCTTGTAAAATCTGCTGCACTGGAGTCAACAGACTCTTCAAAGGCATTTTGTACTATACTACTGAAATTGAGTTTTTCCCCGCTAAATAGTTGTCCAAATCTTGGATGGAGTAGGACGTTGGAGGTAATAGTCAGTAGGGCAAGGGCTGGTGATTATGGCGGATGAGGAAGAGCTTCCAACCCCAACTCTTGCAGCTTGGAGACTGTGTGTTGTACAGTGTTGGTTCGCGTGTTGTCGTGAAGGAGAAGCGGAGACGACCGATTGACCTAAGCTGGTTGCAGATATGCAAGCTTCTACATCATTGTCTTCAGTTATTAACAGTAAATACCTACTGTAATGCTCATGCCGTTTTGTAAAAAGCTGTGAGGAATCACACCGGCACTAGACCGCCACCTAAGCAGTGACCACCACCTTCCTCCGGGTCATTTTTAGTTTAGGACATTGCTGTGGCGCTAAACCAGGATCTAACCAACTTGCTGAGCGCTTTCAATTGTTGAACGGAATCCATTTTTCGTCCCACGTAACAATTCGATTCAATTCCTCCACTTCTGTGGCTGTTAAGCAGCATGAGGCAGGTGATGCTTGACGCGTTACGCTGGCGATCTTTAAGTTCGTGGGGTACTCATATATCAAACTTTTTTACCTTGCCAATTTGTCGCAAATGGACCAATATTGTTTAGATGCTCACATCAAAAGCTGCTGCTAGCTCGGCTGTAGATTGAGTATCATCAGCTTCCACCACCTACAATTCATCGCCTTCAATTCATCGCTGTTGACCAGCTTTAAAGCACAATTAATTTGAATTTAGAATTCATAGTCAAACAAAACTTTTTTTGTTTGAAATGGCCAGTGCTAAAGAACTATTATTACAAAATATAAAACGTTGTTGTCTAACGTGTTAGACGAGAATTCAATTAAATTGTTCCGTTCATTTGTGTCGAACCTCTCTAAATTTACTGTATTTGCATCCACTCTAAATAATGATTAAATCACTGCCCTATAATTAATAGTTATAACATTTAAAAAATCTTTGTTTTTGTTAAATCTGACGGCAAGCAATAACATTTTTTTGTACTATCCTTGTATTTTTTCTTAATTGATAACACGTGATGTAGATCAGTTTAATTTTAATAAAAGCAATTATGGACTTTTTTTAATTTTTTTTTATGCGAAGAGTTGTCAAACGAGCAGACGGTTCACATGTTAAGTGAATACCGCCGCCCATGGACATCTGCCACACCCGAGGGTTACAGATGCGTTGACAACCTTTTGAAAATTTGGCTCCGGCTACCTCACGCACCAGACGAAACGCGAAAGTATTTGTCATACTTCCACTTTACGCTGGTCTTCTGTCAGGTCCTGGTACTTAGCCGGACGGGCCTGGTAACAGCCGAGGCTGCAGCGTGGCCCTACCATCGTAAATCAGTTAACAAAAGTCGTCGATAAAATTTTGAAGGTACAAGGATAAGAAAAAATATTAACTTTTTTAATTATATATGCGTGGTGGACATTTTTATAAGAGTTATTTCGTACGTATGGTTATATCACACAAGTAATTTAATGTCTCTGATAGATTCATCGAGATTATTTTTACTTTATACTGCAGTTTTGAGTACAATTTTATGACAGCGATATTTGATAAACGTAAAATGTTAAATTGAAGTTTTAGTTGAAAATATTAATTCTTAACATTTGTTTCAGAGGAGGAGCTAAAGTAACGCTGATGTACCTACCGGAGTCGACACAATGGATCAGTGGATGACAGCGGCAAGTGCATTGCTAGCATTCATATTATATTACAACACACTTGATGCAGGATTTGTTTATGACGACAGGTAATCAATCACATTGGTAATAGTAAGGATAAGGTTTACGTATTATTGGGTTTTGTTCTTTATGTGAGTGGCTACGTTAATTAGAATGAAATTTAATATAGATAAATATATTTTATAAGCTTTAAAATGTTCTATGGAAAAATTCAATGTGTAAAATTAGTAAATTGAAGATTAATGGAATTTTAATTACGGGTGATGTATGAAAAACGAGAACAAACAGTCAAAATTATTTTTATATTATAATTTTAACTTTCTCAAAATGGTTAAATATTACATTATATACAATGACTTTATTTGTACAATCCATGGTGCAGATACAGAGATTGTCAGTTTTGCTGACCCTAGAACATGCGACATAATTATAATTGTTCATATGTGAAACAGTATGATCGATAGATATAGATACAGTAAGATAGATAGAAGACAGATCTAATGCATACAATTTTAAAGATTGAGCCTTAGGTACTGATGGTCACTGCAAACGCCAAACTAATTAGGAATTGCAATTACTTAAATTGAAAGGACATATCGGTTGAAATCATAGTAATTCGAGGAATAAGAATATCTTCGCATTTAGAAAGTTCTGTCGACGCGATCATTTTTTTTCACCTTGGCTCGTAAACATACACACTGAAGTCTGACTGCATATCGTTCTGCTGCTTCTTTGGCACGTATTTTTCACATTCTTTGTTTATTTCGCTAATTCACGTATGCCCGTTTCTCAACATTTTGATTTGAAATTAATCACCGTACATTAAAATTTGTGGTAATTTAAAATTAATAATTCGAAAAAGGCTAAATATTTAAAATAATCATCTCCTCGTCGATTAAATTTGATTTTATTCGTGGCATTACTGTAATTTGATAAAATATATCTATTTCACCATAAAAACAAAATTATTACAAAACCATATAAAATGAAAAGGAAAAATTACATTATAAAAACTTATTCGATATAATTTGAATTTGAAATAAAAAGTTTTTCTCACATAATGAACGCATTGATATGCGGCATAAAATTATTATTAAACTTAATTTCAGAACATTTTACCACAAAATTTTAAATTAGGTTAAATGGCCGTAGAAAAAGATAAAATTTATATTCACCAACTTAATCTTAAACATTAATAAATCAAACTGAGACAAGAAGAAACGCGCGTATGTAAATAAAATGTTTTTTATCGATATTGAAATTTGAAAAAAATAATAAAACGAGAAAAATAGATAACTAACAGATATACACCAATAATTTGACTCTAAATTAATAAAAAATAATAAAAAAGTATTCGTGAAAGATTAAAAGGTAAGTGTCACTTTAGCAACCCAGAGTATCCTTGACTCTATCGAGTCTCCTTGATTTAATAAAAACATTTGCGTCTATGAATATTATGGTCTGTAAAAATTTCAAAACGATCAATAATAAAACAAAAGTAATAAATGTATAAGAGTATAAAAAGTAGATTGATATGTATTTTCATTCAAAAATAAAACATGAACTCTATAATGAGTCGAATACTTTCTATCGAATAATTTCTAGTCAAACTCTAGTCCTTATGTAAAAGCCTGAAATATTGAAAAAGCGTGTATGAATATCTGCACCCTCTCCATCACTACAAATACTGTATTTAGTTTCTTTGCTTACATTAAGAGTCCACTTAAGGCGAGCAGTCACTAGTGAAAAGGATAAAGGCACTTTTATGTCACTACAGAGGGAGCATTAAAGCAATATTATGAAAGAGCTCCAAGTAGAGTATAGGCGTATAAAAGAGTATTCAATAATGTAAAAATAGAGCAAAGTTTATAAGTCCTTACTTAGCTAATGGTAAAAATACGAGTTGTGTAAAATGTATAAGTTTCCGAGAAGTTTTTAATTTAAATGTTTAATAGTAATCCTTTATCAGCTCGTCTTGTCTTGGAAGCAGTGCCGGATTAAGTAAACGCGAGGCCCGTAACAATTTTGAAACATCCCTTGATCTGTTATGGGTTCCTAAGTATAAATTGGTAAAAAACAATTCAATACTCTTACTCAGTTAATAAGTTTCACTTAAAAATTTAAGGCTCAGGCAGAGATGAGTGGGTTAAAATGTGCGGGGCCCCCTTTGGCCCGGGGCCCGTAGCAATTGCTACTCTTGCTACCTGGTTAATCCGGCATTGCTTTTAAGTGTACATAGATGACGTAGCTGAGATGTCAACAGATGACTTTACCACTTTTTTATAAAGTGAAAGTTATGGAATTTTGTAGCAATGTACTAATCATAGTTTTTATTGTAATTAATTTATATTATATAACAAATAAAAACTAACTCTCCATTGCAATAAACATATTATGAGAGATAATGGTAAAAGAATGAGTAAACTTTGTGCGGGATTGGAGGACGCTGCAAACCACTACAGTGTTTCGTAATTGAGGGCTTACGTGACTCTTCGCCACAGCTGGTCCTAACTTTCAGTGTTAAGAGTACTCCCATACTAGTGCCAACATTATTTCACTTTAGTTTTGATACAGCTTTAATAATGACGACTAAAACGCAATTAAATATAATTTTTTTTCTGTTAGGTATTTTGTGGTGATAAATATTGAATACAATTGTTATTATATTAAAAATAATCCGTATTTAGGTTTTTTTGCTTAGAACCATGATCATTATGTGATATGATAAAAGTCAAAAATTATTCGCTTTCAATATTACATGATTTAAATACTAAATATTACGGCTGCTTGTACATTTATTATTTTAATACAATTTTAGGTAACGGATATTCTTATAATTTATAGTAGTCTGTTCGAGAATTAAATTTTGATAAAATATGAACGGACGTTTGGAGTACTTTAAATATTTAATTTATGTTTCTTAGAGTTAAATGTTCGCTTTTGCTTAAAGTCAAACTTTAGTGTTCATTGGATATATCATTAGAATAACAGTCTACAAAAATGTATTAGAAGCAAGCTTATGTTAATAAGTGAAAGGAAAAAGTCTTACAATTTGCAATACAATGGCCGAATTGTTGAGATGATTTTTCCTTCTTCGCATAGTAAGCACGGTTTTGGTTCCATAAAAATATATTATTCAATCGCCTTTTTCACTGGCTCTCCACTCCAAATCTAAGATGAAGGGATAAAATGTATGAGGGATCAATAGATAAAGAGATGAGGTCGGCATTAAATGTGGGCTTTGCGATAGCGTAAGGCAATTGGTGGAAAATTTGAAAATTGTTAAAGTCCTATAGGTTTTTATAAAGTTCCTTTTCTAATAGTAGAATGATATTTAAATATAAAATAGTACGAACAATCTTGCCCATTTCTAAACCGAGTTTTAATTATTGCATTACTACTTCGATTTCAATCATATTTGCGTGTAGTTTTAACACTTGTAATTAAATATTTATATTTTATATTTAAATATTTTATCCCAATATTTGGTATAATGAAACGTTAAGGTAACCATTAAACTGCATTTATAAAGGTCATGAATATATGCCCTTTATAAAATTAATCAAAGGACTTCTTCAACAGAAAGTATTTATTTGCTTAAAATTGAAATAACAGAATGTTAGCTCAAACACAAAACATTCAACGCAAAGTTTTTTAATCAACGCTGGAGGAAAATATAGGAGAACGTGAGCCGCAGGCGTGCTCATTGCTTAAATACTTTCAAACCGAGTGCAACGGATTTTCATAACGGCTGTCACCGCTGTAGGACATAGCATATATTTTTGTAAAATATGCCGCTTAATTGCCTTTTTAGCGACATTTAATACTTTTTGGAATAATCATTTTACCTTGTAACAGTCATCTGTGTGTTGTGATACATTTGTAACCACATGCACAGAAGACAGAAGAGTCACTACAGCATCTTTTTAAGAAAATAAACATGTTAACGCTCCCGTCCCTATACATACTCGAGAACATCATTTATGTAAGAAATAATATACCTTTTACAAAAAACATACCACTCCGCATCGGGGCCGTAGTGTCACGCTGTAAATACCAAGGTTTAGACTAGCTGATACCAGGAAATCGTTTCTTGGTAGATATATTAAATTGTATAATAAAATACGGGACAGCCCCAGAAATTAAGTGTAAACAATTACAAACATTTTGTAAAAAAAAAAGTAAAAGTAAAGTAACAGCCTATACATGTCCCACTGCTGGGCAAAGGCCTCCTCTATACAGAGGGTATTAGGGCATAGTCCACCACGCGGCCCCACTGCGGGTTGGCGGACTTCACATATTTTCGTAATATATATTTTTACATTTTGTAAAAGCTACACAAATGGAAAGGTCCTATTACAATGTAGAAGAATACATTGATGATAAGGATGTGTGGAATTGACCCTTGCTCTAATCCCCTGTCCAAGTCCCCTGGCTGCTGCTAATTTTATACTTAAATACCTGTACTTATAAAGTTAAAAATATATATAAATATATTAAGACCGTAGAGTTTCTTGCCAGTTCTTCAACGGAAAGGTCTTGTTTAGTGAATCGGTGGTAGTTTTTGACGTTCAATAAAAGCTTAAAATAAGCCTATATTGAATAAAGAAATTTTGCCTTTGACTTTGAGACAGTAAAAATATACATATTTATATTTTTTAGTAAAAGCATAATTTCAAGACTTCCAGTAAATTTTAATATTACGTTAGACATACATTGTTCCATGAACGGGAACCTATTTATTATCGTCACAGGGAACGAAACGTGTATTTACTTTATTGTGTAATATAAAATCTTAGCTTGCTAGCAAAGGTATATTGAATTTGTAAATCTTTTGGAACGAAATGGATCTAAAGCTGCAATTTTATTTCACAGGCGGGCGATCCTCTCCAACCCGGACGTCATCGGGCATACTCCAATAAAGGCTTTATTTGAAAACGATTTCTGGGGAACACCGCTCTCGGACCCTGGTTCGCATGGATCGTACAGGCCTTTGTGTGTAGCCTCGTATCGACTGAATTATGCGTTGAGTGGCTTTAGGCCATGGAGCTATCACTTTCTCAATGTACTGTTCCACTCAATAGCTACAGCGCTGGTCGTGACGACGGCACGTCGAATATTACCGACTTACTGCATGCGAGTGGGGAGTGCAGTTGCCGGCTTGAGCTTCGCTGCCCACCCGATTCACACAGAGGCGGTAGCCGGTGTGGTCGGACGAGCGGATTTGGCGGCGTGCAACTTTTTCCTTCTGAGTTTCCTACTTTACTGCGAGCACTCGAGAATTCGCAACGAGTTCCAGAGGAAACTGTGCCGGCACGGCGCCAAAGATAATTTAACACACCAACAGCTGTCAATTACCGTTCACGTTCTGAGGTTCGGCTGTCACGGGTTTTTCGAGCGGATCCTCATTAATTTTCGGAGGCTGCTAAAAGCCAGCAAAATTGCTACACTAGTGCTCAGCGCGTGTGAAGTAGATTCGGGATGTGTAAAGATGAAAAAGTGCCAGTGTAACAGCAGTGTGAGTGTGTATACGTACGAACTCTTGCAGTGGTTTACGTTAGCGGGAACACTTTTGTTTGCTACAGCTGCCACCCTTTGTAAGGAACCTGGAATAATGGTCGTTCCATTGTGCATCCTCTATGACCTTTTGAGAGATACGCGGCATGACGAGTCGTCTATAAAGGTAACGCATTTTAATTTAACGCTCGCCTTTTCTAGTTTCCTCTTTTTCATGTATAGTAAGTAATAAACGCTTTGGCATACACGGCACACATATTTCACTACACATGACTCTCGATACTATATACTTGAATGAAATAATTGCATTTTCAAAACAGTGAAACGAGGCCGAATGATGATTTGCGTTCTTTGTTAATGATATTCTATTTTTAAAATATGTATTGAAATTGAAACCTCGAAATGAGGTTGTCAATAGTTATTATTTTTTTTTTATAATTTTTTATAATTTTTTATAATTTTTTTTTATTTCGAATAAGCAAGCGTTATTAAGTTGATAAACCCATCTATATGAGGTATATTTCGTACAACTTACTTCTTCTTTTTTTATTCCACTTAGAAAATTTATAACATTAAAGAACGCGAAATTAACACAAATTAGAATAATTCGGTCTTCAGAAACCTTTAATTAGATGTATCATGTTGAAATGAAGTAGTCATATTACATAGACATTTTGCTAGTCTAGATACACACTAAGATTTGACATATTCAGGATATATGTATTCTATATTTCAGTATTAAACATACTGAAGTAAAGATAAATAAGATTAGTAACAAAATAGTTCTTTTCAAATTGTTTAGTTAAAAATCATAAATAACCCCTATTTTACAGATATATAAAATAACGCCAGTCAACTCATCTGTTGTTTTACGTTAAAAAGTACAAAAGGTTAATTGCACAAAACATGCGGACAATGTAGCCATAAAATTATACCAGTATATCATAATCTCAGATTTTTGTTGAAACTACGTGTAATCTTTTTTTTTTAATGCAGTGAAACCTGCTATACTACTGGGTTTTAAAGAGTAAAGCTAATGAAATCTAATTTTCTCGTGCGGGTAGCCATGACAGAGATATTGTGGGTCCGGCTCACTGTCTCATTTGCAATATGGAAATAGACTCCATCGCGTGAATAGGGTAAAGCATTGTGCGAGAGCGAAACGGATGAAAACAAAGCTCGGATAAAGAATATGAATATATAATTTCGTCCACTTGGCACAGTTTTAACATAGCGACACCTGCATGTAGCCAATTAAGGTTAATGCCACCTTTTTTGTCCTTTTTGTCTAATACTGTGCTCCTAATGAATATCAAAATATTACTATACATAACATTTATGTATGTTAATAATTTAAAAATATCTTCATTGATGCAGATAAATTCATAAGTTTATAATGTTATTATAGTTTCCACGGTTTGATTATTTAAAATTTATAAAAGAAGTAAAGTAACAGCCTACATATGTCCCACTCATGGGCAATGCTTCCACTACAGGCGATATTAGGGCATAGTCCACCACGCGGCCCTAATGCGGATTTGCGGACTACAAATGTCTTCTATTATTTCGAAAATATACAGGTTTCCTCGCGATGTTTTCCTTCACCGCTGAGCACATGATGCCAAATTATCAATTTCATACGGTTACTCGAGTATATATATTGAATTAAAAGTGTACGCCCAATCATATTTTAATTATTTTGTTACTTTTGCATAAAATGCTTCTTTTATTAAAAAAAGAACTTTTAGTCATAGAAAGAAGATTTAGTGCGAGCTTAACAATAATTATATAATGGAAAAACTCCGTCAAATGTATACACATGTCCGTTATCAATAATTCATACTAATATTCACCGAATGACAAACAATACCATTGCATGTGGCAAGATGGCGGTACAGTAATAAGGCTGTTATTAACCTTAAATATAAATGGTATAAATACATATATACAATTATAAATACGTATTAAAACGTACAAACAAAAATATACATGACTATATTAATGTTAAAATATGCCTTATTATTATCAAAGCATAAATATTTTATGCTTCTAAATCATGATCTCTGATTTCAAATCTGTCGATATCTATTTTTTTTCCTTATTTCTTTAAACTTAACTATTTCATATTCAAATAGTGAAGTCTCTGCCTATCCCACTAGGAATGAACATATTGGATCTTGAATTATACACGTTATTTTTATGTTTTTTAATAGATTTCATTCATATTATGTTATTTAATTAGATTATATCAGAAATCATTAATATGGTGTTAAACTTGTCTCTATACGTATTTCTATCCACCATTTATGTGCTGAAAATATTACTACAGTATCGTTTTATTGCCACCGCCTTCGCGAGTTTATGAGATCCCATGCAATAAAGTGATAAAACAGTTAGCTCACACAACGTTACCAAACTGGATTTGATATATCGGCGTGAGGAAATGAAAATGCCATTAAACGCAAAACTCGCTGAATGTTTTGTTTTTCTCCATTTCTTTAACTTGAACGACCGCGTAAATACAAGAAATTATTTGAAGAAAAATTACTTAAAAATATTACTTCAATCATTTCTAAAAAGCAAAAAGATACTTTTTAAGTTCGAAATACAAAATAACTTCGCTATGTATCTATGCTTTCGTGTATACACTTGAATAAATACGAGTAAGTATCTAAAAAGCAATTAACGAAGTGAACTGAAGAACAGTTGCTGTGCTACTTAAAGTTATTTCTTGGTCTCGATAAAAGACTATCGATTTTAAGTCAATTTGCGCCAACTCATTTGTTTCAGAAGAAAGATTCCTTTTTTTAAGACCGTTCTTTATTGTTTGTTCACAATAAAAATCGTATCTCGGTATCTAAAGTGTTTTTCTCTTCGAAATATTAAATTAACATTTCAACTTCTACAGCTTCACCTTCGTCCTCCGCGTCCGTAGTTCAGTATATTTCAGCGGTCGTGTAATTTGTGGCTCGTAAATGTTCTGAAATTGGTCATCCCTTTGGTTGAGGTGAATTTATAGCCTCCTCGGTCGGCCTGTCGAAAGGGGAATTAATAAGTCCCTTCTAATGGCAAACGTACCCTTACCATCTATTTGAATGTCCCAGAATTGCTGGAGTATATTCATTTGAACTTGAAAATAATTTATAACCTTTTTCTCCGCAAGCTCCGTATGTTTTTTATTAATATATTTTACATTATTCATGTCTCACTGCAACGATGTAAAGTAAAAGTATACGTTATTTAACTAATATGTATTTTCTGAAACTTTTAGCTTTGACAGATAAAATTAGACAACACTACACTTTCAATAGGTATTCTAAGTTATTTCTACAAGTCCACTCAAGCTAACCTGCACAATTGAGTTCATAGTTTGAATTAATCTTAAATTCTCTCCATTTCATACAAGCTGTGGTAATAAGTAGGACCTGAACTAAATATCTATAGAAAACTATTTAATAGGATTTGAATACTTTATTAATTAATTTTAATTCTTTCAATTTTATATTCTTTTGGGTCTTAAAATGTACTAATATATTATTTTCTATATTACATATTAAAAAATACAGAAACTATACTATTCTCGAAACTAGACTTTACTTCAATGCAATATTTACATCTGTTAAATACGTGAGTTAGTTTTTATGGTCTAATTCTTATTTGTTTTAGAAGAATAAAATGAATAGCCTTTGTTTAAAAACAACTTTTCCTCTATCGTTGAAACGAGTGGATTGTTTAACCTATTTTAACTCGAGTGCTCTTTGTTTCTAAGATCGCTGGGTTTTTGATTGTAGATTGATTTTAAAACATTGTAAGTTCAAGGTAGTTATTTTGTTAAAAATGATTTGTTAACTTTATATATGTTAAATTCAAAAACGAAATAAAATGATTGTGATAAATTTTTATTCCAACTATAATCTACGTAGTTTTTGTTTTTTGTGGTGTTTATTGTAACAGTAAGACACGGTTTTTTATTAATGTATTAATGCATATTTTAAAGATAGGGCTAAAATAGTACTTAAAATAATACATATACGGTTCCTAGTTATGGCTTCAAAATTTCCTTTCAAGTGTTAAAATTATCCTATTTTTCTTAACTTCCAAGCATTAGAAAAAAACCTCTTAAAATCAAAATAGGAATTCTGTAAACTCAATCTGTTCAATCGATTTCAAAGTCTTTTGTTTCTATTTATATTATAAATTTCAACCGTCCCAAAACAGCGTTTCTACGAGTACGTAGTGTCTTCGTGCTGCAGAAACGGAAACCATATCGTTTATCCGTACGTTATACCAGACAGCAAATCTGGTTGTAAATAACATCGCCCGAACGCCTCCTTGTCTTTAGAGAAGAATAATGGTATTTTCTATTTCGTTAGGCCGGCTATGTATAGTTACGTCCGCTCGGATGGCTGCCAGCTGCGCCGCACGCCCGTGTCGTGTTCTAGTGTCCCTCCCGTCCGGCCAAGATGTTAAATTAAGTGTTACTGGAACGGGTCTCAATTTTCCCCGAACTGTAATAGATTTCGAACGTGAATTCGTGTGTCGTTATTCCCATCTACGAGATACGAATAATTTTTAACAAAAACACCGACTTTTAACCGGAAACTAAAAAAATTGTTAATGCCTATAACATTTGAGGATTGCTCTCGATTTCTCTGGGATGCCATCATCAGACTCGGGTTTCCTTATCAAGGTACCTCCTTTCCAACAAAAAAATAATAATCGAAATTGGTTCATAAACGACGAAGTTATCCGCGAACACACAAAAAAAATAAAAATATATATGGTCGAATTGAGAAACCTCCTTCTTTTTGAATTCGGTTAATAAAGATTGTGAAAACATTATAATTGGAATGCTATAAAACACACAACACAGCAGTAACTGCCGACTACTGACTAAGGCTATGACTATTATATGTATTACTTTTGTCCTGTTTTAATTTATTAATTCAAAGAAATGCGTACTATTTGTGAAATATTGCGTGAACGATATTTAATTCCGCCTTTTCCATAACAATATGGCGCGATTGTTCTTCCATAAGTCCTAAATCAAAGCTCTGTGAACTCTCTCACGCTTCCATATTTTCGCACCCCGAGAAAGTTATATAACCGCTATTGAGCAAATATATCGACTTATGCTTCATATTTTCATATTATGGAGTAAGAATT